GTGTGTGTGTGTGTGTGTGTGTGTCAGTGTGTGTGTGTGCGCGCACGCAGCTGTGTTGCGCAACTGGCTCATCCATCCATTCTGTCTGAAAATATTAACTTTGCGCAGGAGTTTACTACCATAATTACTGTAAACACAGAGGAACTCAGATGTTTGGTAGAACATAGATCTTTGTTTATTTCATAATTGATATTAAGAAACGAGTCTCTGCGTCTCAGTAGAGTTTTCATGACGTCACGTGATGTTGGAGAGTCTCCACAAACGCTGCGAGCACTGCAGCCTTTGTGTGCAGTCTGTTTGTCTGTCAAGCTTTTGCTCTCCTACTTACAGCATTTTCACAAGTTGTAAAGTGTCCTTCCACGTGTCATTTTGGACCAAGTATGAAACACCTCCACTGCTGGCGAGTGTGCGTGCGCTCCAGAGTGCGACCATAACTCAGCCTTTAGAATCAGATGGATGAGACGATTCCATCGGTCATGACTCTGCTTTGGGTGGACTGGACTGGCACAGTCCCGATGGGTCTGTCAGCTCCCTCTGGAAAGCTCCTGTGGAACCCCAGTTCAATCACTGCTGCTGCATGTGCACGTGTGGCGCATGTGGTTCGCTGCGTCGCGCTCCCAGAGCGCAGCAGTGCCAAACTAAAAACTGATTTTCCCTCAAAACAGCTGATGAGCCACTCGTCATCAGAAAATTATATCTGTTTATAAATAAAAGCTCTGCGTGTTACACTATTTATTACATCCTCCAAATCCGTTCCTGTTAAATGTATTTTTGGCACAACTTTGCGCGTCCTTTATTTAACTGCGTCCATGTGGATGTAAAAAATGTTAATCATGTGGATGTAATAAATGTTAATCATGTGGATGTACTAATTGTTAATCATGTGTGTCTGCTGTGAACAATAATCATTTTCACATCATGAACAGTTTCTCAGAATCACCTCTACGTGTCTCCAATGAAACCAAAACCACAGAAACGTGTGACACCAGACCTGGAGTTGGCGTGGGGCTGCTCACATTTCCACGTTCAGTTGAGTTTTGATACATCCGGAGAGTTACGTGGAAAATGACGTACGCAAGGTTTTTGTGTGTACGCACCGTTGATACATGAGGCCCCAGGTGACAATATATGAACCCAAATACAGCTGTGGAATGTCAATGATAAGTTATAAAAGAGCAACATGGCAATATGTGACTCATGTTGTCTGTTGAAGAATGTTCATGGGTTGACTGAGTTATTTTAGTGCTTTAGAATTAGCTTTTTGCTAAAATATTCAGTGCATTAGTGCGCGCGCGCGCGTACGTGCGTGTGTGTGTGTGTGTGTGTGTGTGTGTGTGTGTGTG